ATCCAAGTTCATAACATATCAGACTTTAGGGACAGAAAGAGGCGTTAGGATGGGAAATAACGAACTGATGGCAGCAGTTAGGGATGAAGAGGCGAGGAGGGACTGACAGGTATGATATGGTTTGGTGAGATGGATGGTAGAGTGGAGTAGAGGAAAGAAAGGACAAATATCAAAACAAAACTCCCTCCTTTCTTTCTTCTCTCACTCATATATAGACAAAATTATACACCAGGTAGATGGAGAAATAGATGAGGAGGCAAATGACGGAGAGAGAGACTATATGAAAAGATGAAGCACCTCCCAGCACCGCGATGAGGAATAAGAAAAATATAAAACGAAAGAAAAAATTGAATACTCCAAAGCCTTCCGTTTTTGCTCTGTTTAGTGATGCAAGGGGGTGGTGGTGGTGGGGGGGGGGGGCTGTCAGTTAAATCCCCCCTCTCCCTGCAACTGGTCAGTCTTCTTTTATCTTCTGTCCTCCTCAAAGCAGGATGCTCCCTTCCCTTCAGATGAGCTGTAACCCTTTGCCAATACAGCTGTTAGACATGGCACTCAGGCTGGCTGCATGCTGGGGATGCTGCTACCCAGAGATACACAGAGTGGAGACGAAACACACCTCTTGCCGGCATAGAGCGCAGCGCACAACTCTAACTGCACTCGCTCGCTCTCTCCTCCACCTCCTCGAAGTAGAGAGAGAGAGAGAGAGAGAGAGAGAGAGGGAAATGTGGAGGTGGGTCCCTCTATAGGATTGTGAATTAGAAAGATGCTACAGTAAAGAAGGGCTGTTGCAACAATTGTCAAGAAAATGTCTTCCATACAGAAAGCAATGGCTCCCTCTGTTGTTACACTGTGCTCAGATACTGAAAAAATACATTATTATGATGGAGTTGGAGGTGAATTTTGAGATCAGTTACCTAGAAATGAACAATTTTCTCTGGAAAAACATCCGTCTCAAAAAAAAAAAATGTTTTACTTAATTTCTGTCAGTTTGACTCCTCCTGATATGTTGTGTGCTGGAATCTGTTTAAAGGTCTAAATCAGCCGTTAATTAGATAAGCCACAACATCCTTTATCACTTGACATCTCTACCCTAAATGTTTGGTTAAAATAATGTTATAACAGTTTGTTCATTTACAAAATAAACTGGCTTAAAAAAAAGGGTTAGGTAGAGTCGGTCGTCTCTCAACCAGAAGGTTGGGAGTTCAATCCCCACTCATGTCAGATACTTGACCTGGATTATTGTACTTGGGCAATAAACTTAACCGCAAGTTGCTCCCGGCACCTACCATATGACATGACTTTGAATGGGATTAATTCTGATGGATACTTTACATGGTAGTCTCAACTATCAGTGTGTGAATGGCTAGGTGTGTGACCTGTGGTGTAAAAGTGCTTTGAGTAGTCAGAAGACTAGAAAAGTGCTTTACAAGCTCAAGTCCATTTACTGTTGAATAGAAGTGATATTTTCAGGATTTAATCTCCAATGGTCCTCAAGAATAGTTTATGAATTTCACCCAGTATCTCCTTATGCATCTTTTGACTTCAGTTGAAATTTGAAACCGGCTACACTTTGACATTTTTACAGTTTTTTCCAATTGCTGAAAGACAATTTTGCAAACTAGGCTGGTTTTATCAAAATACTTAACACAATTCACAAAACCACACACATCCAAACTGCAAAATACCTCATATAACCTGCAAAATGAAGCACTGCAACCAAAACTACATATAGCTTTATCAAAATCAAACTTTTGCACTAAATGGCACACACTTCATTCATATTACCAGATTTTTGTCTAACCAACCACACACTGTTGGACATAATGTGCTGACAACGTGAGAGGCTGGACAGCGAGTGCAGCTCAACTTGAGCCGTTTTACTGTACTGGTATATGTAGCACTGACTTGTTTGGTGAAAAATAAAAAAATAAATGTTTCAACAGCATGTGTGTGTATCTGCAAATATTTCTGTGCATGTGAACAATCTGAAGAATTTTCTACAATTCAAACTATGTTAGTATTATGGCAAAGCACACTAAAGATCAGAGTGCTTTTCATTATGTCCAACAGTGTGTGGTTGGTTAGACAAAAATCTGGTAATATGAATGAAGTGTGTGCCATTTAGTGCAAAAGTTTGATTTTGATAAAGCTATATGTAGTTTTGGTTGCAGTGCTTCATTTTGCAGGATATATGAGGTATTTTGCAGTTTGGGTGTGTGGTTTTGTGAACTGTGTTAAGTATTTTGATAAAACCAGCCTAGTTTGCAAACTGTGTTTCAGCAATTGGAAAAAACAGTAACCATTGAGGTGTTCAGCCAGGTGGCACATACATTGGCCAATTAGCTGAACAATTAGGACTTTTAAATGTTGCTTCACTTAAAGTATATAATATTCACAAATCAATAGTTGTTCAGTAAATAGACTTAAATCCAATTTTAGATTATTAGGCCGAAACTTTTGTGTAACTTTAATCGAATCACGACAAGACGCTGAGGTTGTTGTAAGTTAGAAAAAGACAACAGAAGAAAAAAACTCACCATGTTGTCGATATCTTTTATGATGTAAGCAGGTCTTTCGGACTCTCAGCATGGATTCATTTTCCACGAAACACACCACAAAATGAAGAAAATATGCGACCTAGCCGTGTTGACCTGTTGACGACGGTCGGACAGTGAACGCAACTACAACTGTTAAAAATGTTCCTTTGCTGGACTTTATTCAATTAGTCAATACTTTGTCATTTTTAAACAAGATTTTGTGATTGGTAAGTTAGAACACTTTTATAAATTAGTATTTGCCAAATAAAAATATTTAAAACTGTATTTAGAAGTGGGCTCTGGGGTTGTCTTAGTAGGTGAAAAGTGCAGATGAAATTTAGATAACTGAAGTATTTAATTAAGATTTCTCTCATAAAACTTGCAGCAATGTATAAACTTAAATATGATGATGATAACTAATTATCTAGGATATCAGACAGCCAATGTGCGTTTTCCACCAGGAGGGGGCACTCCATAGAGACTTTCATCAGATGTTCTCCACTAAAAGGGCACACAAGAGGGCGCTACATTGCGTTTTCCATTTTAAACTCATAGCATGTTTATAGTTTCTCTACTGGAAAGATGCCTCAGAGGGCCGAGTATCAAATATTTCTGTCACTGGAAGTGCCCTGATGAAAGCACTTTATACATATGTATCAATGAAAGGACACCACAAGGCACATTTAATTTATTTTCTCTTCTTAGATATAGTCACACTGGATGGCCAGGATCCAGTTTTCCCAACCTGGACCAAAAACACTGGCAGATAGACAGGATTGTGAGTTAATTCCCAAAAGTCTAACCAGGGACAAGGACTGCAAATTAGCCAGTGATTAGATGTAACAATGCCTACATGAATGTCCCTGACAATTAAACTAAAAAGAAAATAAGTCAATTGGGGGAAAAAATCTCAGCATGAGTATAAAGAATTACATTTAAATTACATTTGCACATACTATCTGGTTTTATAAAATACTGAAAATATTACAGTAAATTGACTACATGCACTACCATATTTTTACAAAGCGTAATCTTTACCCTCAGCTCCTCATTAGCAGCACACACAGCTACATTTACAGACCCAGCCGAGGGAATCCATTATAAGACTCAAGAGCGAAGTGCACAGATCATGTGTGTGTTGGATGTTTAAAATATCATGACTCATATTTAATGCAGGGCTAAAAAGTTGTACCACAGTCTCACAAGCAGGAAATAACTTGAAAGCGTGAAAGCTACTCCAAAATATGAAGATTGGTAATCAACTGAAGGGTAATTTTCATCATTTAGGGGTAAAATGATCTGAAGAGGTTAAGCACCCCAATCTTTGTTTTCTCCCTGCTCAAAAAAATAGGCAGGACCGTAGTTCAGGACTGTGCATGTGTCAAGGATTACCTTCACCAATGGTTGGTCTGAGCGGAAGTGAAATTGTTATCCAAAATCAGACATCATCCTTGGCACTTCCATTAAAATTGTGCAAAAGTGTGTTTCTAAACTCAAAGCCACCCCATGCTAACTTTGTATGAGATCCTGCATCGTGTTACTCAGAACCAGCCCGCAGCTTTAATTACAACCTGTGATGAAGCTCAAATGATAAGAAAAATTGTTTGACCATCATCAACCACCGCATCAGATGGAGTCCCCCAGGGTTATTTGATTATGTTTACTGTATGCAGTTTCATTATCTTATTTGTTTTGGCTAAATGCCATTTAGATATTTGGTCACAATGCTGTTGCTCTAGCATCTTCATGCTCCACTGAGAAAGACGCTTATTCATTTCATATAAGCGAGCACCTTGGCTTCATCTTCAATTTTACTCTTATTTTCAAAATCAACTTTGAAAATACAAGTGTCATGATGGAAACTGAGTGCAGTCCTCCACTAACATACAGTATATTTCAATTGGATGCTTGTCGTCATGACAATTAAAAAACTTGAGCTTTTTCCAAAATCTCTGTTGCTGAAGCTTCAAAGTCAGACAAGCACCAGAACGCCAGACGCTGACATCGTTTTGTGATTTGTGTAGAAAATTAAAATATGATTATCTCCAGTAAAGGTGCCCCATGGAGTTGATAGTGCTTACAGCTTATATTTTATTGCAATACTCGTATCTGTCCAGTGGTAGTATGAATGGTGTATTCACACACTTACAAGTGAATCTTTTTGTAATAATCTACACAACAAACCAGTCACAGACATCCCACTACATGAAGTCTAAAACTCCCATCAGCAACTTTTAAAGTCACCTGCAGTGTTCGGTTGTATTTTACTGGCTGCTGGCTGGAACTCACTGCTGTGAGATTTCTGTGAAAAACAAGTATGTAGCATGTCAGCCTAATCTGACAGACCAGCTATTCGAACTGGTTAAACTGGGAAGTCTTGTGATGGACATGTCTGCCTTCTGTGTCTGTGGAACATTAAAGGTGGCAGACTGGATGGGAAGCACACACTCAGGACGCCAAAACTTTGATAAAACCTTTTATTGTGATTTTCAAAGTCTGGTTGCCAGACAAAGCTTACAAAAGTTATCATTCAGTTTCTACCACACATTTATACATTTCTGTGTAATTCTGAGTTTACATGGATATTCCTGTCACCTATACTCAAGTAAAGCGAGAGACATCCGGGTCAGAGTAACAGGAGTCAACAACATAAATATCTGACTTTGTAGAAGGGCAAAGTAATTCAATTATATACACAACAGTTTAAGTCACAAAAAAATACACTACATACATTAACCAGACAAATCCAACCGTTTGCCTCTTCGTTCCCCCAAATCTGTTAGAAGTCCAGTTGTTACGCAGAGATATTTACAGTTACTGTAAGTGTTCAACGCACAATAAATGAGTTCCTAACACAAGAAAAGAAACAAAGAAAGTCATTAACTTTGAAATGCAAACATTATTTTAATTCCTTTACTTTTCAGCTGGAGTTTGCAGTGATGACATTTGTGCACTGAGGTTCACAGAAGGAGCCAAAGCGCCCGTAAATGTCTTTGGCTCTGACAGCAAAATGGTAAGTGGAGCCCGACTGGAACTGAGTCAGTGTACAGGCCATTGGCAGAGGAAGGGCATTGACCTCCCCGATCTTCTTCCAGTGCTGCTGCGCTGCGTTGCTGCTCGAGTTGTCTTGATGGAAGGCATAAAGGTGATAACTGTCCACAGTGGCACAGGTCTGATCCGTTTCTGCCACGCACCAGGACAGCACAATCCCACCAGTCTGACTTGGCACAAGCTTCAGCTGAGGCTGCTGAGGGGGTGAGGTCCGCTCCGCCTCAGGGGGTAAGCGAGGAGGTGCGGGGGCAGCTGGGAGAGGGGGCAGGTTGGGGTTCCTAGATGGTGTAGTAGGGGCGGTGCGGGCTTTTACAGGAGAGTCCTATAAAAGGAGAACATTGTATTAGTTCTTTCATTCTCAGAAGGGGCCGAAGACAATTTTAAGGGCTATTTCTTTCTTTATTTCAAAAGCATTGAGGAATAAATCACCTATAAAAGTAGTTCTAGACATTTTTTTATAAACCAAAACTAATAAATTATCATTTAAACGACTGTCATTGGAAGCTTTTACAGTCAAAAACATATCTGACCCAGGCCTTTGGACTGATGGTAGCCTGAGAAGCACTTTTCACATCATCCTGGACAATTGAACAGGCATTGAACGACCACATATGTGCAAAATATTTGAACTGCACTTTTATATTCTTACCAGAGGGGGGCGGTGGTGGACTGTCAACTTAGGAGTGCTGGGGGAGCTCTGGGCGATCTGAGGGGACGACCTCGATCCTGCACCTGTGACGAGAGAACATTTGTCGGTCAAAACATTCATTCACAAGTTCATCTTTCATGCCCATAATGTAATGTGTTGGACTTACTCATAGGAATAGAGATGACTGGGGTAGGACGCTGGGAGGGCGACGCAGCTGCAGGAGTGGCATTCTTCACTCCTGTGACTGGAGAGAAAACAGTTCAACAATATTACACTAGCTGCTTTTTAAATACAGGATGAAAAGAAGAGTTGCACTTCATCCTTACCTTGCACATCATCGTCGTCCTCAGTGAGGTCGATCACAGAGCCTTTGGGTCGTCCTGCTGGAGGAGCTGCTTTGGATGGAGTGGATCCTGAAGCCTGGTTGTCTGAGACAGAAATGTTGACAGATATGTTGAGATAACGTAAAAAGACAAGAAAGGCAAAGCAACACATCACACTAAAAAAAGATCATGGAACAGGCACTACAAGATGTTGGCAGTATTACTGTCATAATGGCCCAAGTGTCACGTGAAACAACAAGCCAAACTACACCACACTCAGGGTGGGAAACTCAAACCCTGTTATCAAGGATGATGCCATATTGTTGTGTTCAAGGCTGCCAGTGATGTAAAAGTGGAGTCTGACAAATCGTTATCATTTCAGATTCCTGAAAGCGATAACTGGCAGACTATTACTTCCTGGTTCAACAGACTTATGTGTTCTCACATGCTGCACTTGCAGGCGAAGTCTGAACTAATTCAGAGCTGCTGCGATCACGTGATAGAAGTAGGAAGTGGTTTAATGTGTACATTTAATGTTGCCCAACGATCGCTGTTCGCTAAGTGGTTCTCAAAAGTGATGATTTGATTTCAAATAAGGCCGGATGTCCCTGGTTTTAACTAACCAATCGTGTCTGTCATTGCTGATTAATCTGAAGAAGCGATATGTAATGATTTGTCCAATTCTCAGGTTTCATAAGACTTTCAACTTTGAACACAGCAGAATGACCTAATCCTTTAGATTCTAGCATTTAAAGGAGCAATATGTAAAATATCTACTGAATTAGCCTAATTAGCCTCCTGGATGTAGAGCGTGTGTGTGTTGTGTGTGGAAACAATGAACTCAGAACATGTAGGATTTTCTACTCTGCTCTTTGAGAATGATGTTTTTTTTTCCAAAATGATTGTTAATTTCTTGTGATACTCTTTACATTTCATTACAAGAAAAAAATGATTTCCAGAACCCCGTCGGCACAGAGGGAACAAGCCATTTCCCAAACGGAGATGCGCTGATGTGTGGCTGATCAGATCTGACCACAAAAAAGAGGCTAACCTTCATGTGTGTATTGTTGAACTCTTAAGTATAGCACTGCCTCACTATTTTCCTCCTTGTCTCTTCTCTCAACCTGCATGTTGTTGTCACGGTAGTGCATGATTTTTATTAGGGTTGTTTTGACTATATGGCCACCTTTACGTGCACTGTAAAATGTTCTGCTGAGCGAGCCAGTCTTGTTATGTTGCCTCTTGTTTTGTTGTGGCTTCAAGTCTCTCACACTGTTCAGGGTGGATGTTTCTCATGTTTTCACAAAGAGCCTCCTCACATTACTCTTTTATGTTCACTGGTATCTGCTGTGTGAGTGTGGGGTCTTAAAAAGGCAAGTGAGTGGCTGTGGCAACTCTGGAGGCTCCTCAGGCTCACACTGTCACTGTCTTCCCTGCTGGTAAGAACAGCAGCATCAGGGGCAATCAGATACAGCTCTTGGATGTCTGCTTCATTCAGTTCTAGAGGAAGAACAAAAAATATGTCCTCCAGACATAATGTGTTTCCTTCAGCTAAGCCCCAACCACCAAAATATGTCGCATTGTTTACCAACACTTAAAAGGGTCTACATCATCAGACATCAAGAAAACATGCTGAGTTGAAGTGCTGTCTTGTCTCACAAAAATACATCAGCTAGAATGTCCTCCTTCTAAGTTTCTGATTCCAGTCAGGAATGGTTTGTTTTTGTTTTGACCAGAGAAGGTAGGTGATTTTTAGTCTATTACATTGTTGGCTATATTAGGCTATGAGTTTTAATAAAAACACTGCAAAAAAAACAGAGATAAACACCAAAGTAATGAGAGGAAACTGTTTTTATTGATGCTCCTTCTCCTCCTCTGTAACTGGATTTGTTTCCTCGACATAGAGGAAATTTGAACAACACACACACGCACGCACGCACGCACATGGGTGCAAATTAATGAATGAACAGTACATGTACAACAAAAACAACATCAACAAAAACAAGGCTATCTTTGGGCATGAAAAACTATATACAACAGAAATCCATTACAGATGCAGTGGCGAACAAACAAACAGACGAACAAAGGCACGATCAGCACCTTTGAGAGCGCCCCGGCTCCTAACACACACACCAGGGGCAATAGTGCTCAACCCTTACGGTGCACTTCCCACACACAGGGCGCTTGCACCCCTTGCAGGAGACACCGGTCTTATTCTTCTTGCAGTGCGTGTTAATCTGACACTGCCTCCTTTTCGGCTCTTGTGGATGCTGTGGCTCCATGGGCACCAGCACAAAACTGGCCTTGACACACAGTGTTCCTCTCTCAGTTGCTTTGCCAGCTCAAGAATGAAAGCTCTTCTGGGGATGGTGGTCGAGGTGCATGCCTTGAACAGGACATGAGCATTTATCGCAGCCATGTCCAGAAGGTTATAGAACACAGCGACAGGCCACCTTCGAGTTCGACCTTTTACGGTGTAACGACGAGCCATCCGGTCCAGCACATGAACCCCGACCTGATGGTAATGAGCGGAAATTGAGTACGTTTGTAATGATAATAATAATAATAATAATAATAATAAAGTAGCCTAATGAGACGATAAAGTAAAATGATAGAATAGCTTACCTTTGTGACATTGTAGAAAGTGACAGTCTCTGGCTTTCTCTTCCTATCACTCCCAATGGAGACAGTTGGGTGCATGGTGCTAAGGAGTGCGACACTCTTTCTTGGTTTCTCCTGGTAAACTGTGAGGGTGGCCCGCTCATGCTTGAGCACCTTCGTGGCAAACAGCTCCCCTCTCTGCTCCTGGACTAAAGGCGGCAGCTCCCGTCTGGCCTTGTTGACTGTACCGACCAGGCTGGTGTTTTTCCGCTGCAGGTTTTTGGCCAGGGTGAGGGACGTGAAAAACTTGCCTGTGGTGACATTCCTTCCCTTTCCCACGTATGGCTCCACCAGCTTCATCACCACACTCTCTCCCAGACGTTGATGAGCTGGTCTCGTATCGTCTTTGCCCAGGTATGGGAAGCCGTTCAAAAAGTATCTGGTCTCAACATCTGCAGCTAACCAGAACTTTATGCCAAATTTGTCTGGCTTATTGGCCATGTACTGAGTAAAACGGCACCGTGCTTTGGTGGGGAACAGCTGCTCATCCACAGTAATACACGCCCCAGGTTTGTAGCAGGCAATGCTGTTGCTGACAAATCCACCCCACACCTCAGACATCAGGGCAAATTTGTCACTGCACAGACGGGCATGCCTGTCATCCTTTTTGTCAAAGCACAGGTAGCGCATTATCTGCCTAAAGCGGTTCCTCGGCATCGTGGTCCTGAAGAAAGCCAGTCCCCATTCCTCGGACCAAAAGCTCTCCAACTCGATGTTCTTGTTGAACGCTCCTCTCACGTAAAGCAGGGCAATGAAGGCCTTCAGCTCGGCAACGGAGAGATCCCATGAGCTGTCTGCCTCAATACGGCGCGCCTCAGCCACAGTGCAGTCCCGTATGTGCTGCAGCATTTGCATGTCCAGTAAGCACAATAAGGCGCTCAGAGCGTCCTCAATATTGCGCATAGCATGAGCTGTGGGGCCCGCGGATTCGGTGAGGACATTTTGGGACTGTTGCCTCCCTGAGTGTCCTCCAGGCTGGATGGTTTCCCAGATTGTCCCATCTTTACCCTCTTCACATGTGCCTGGGACTGCAAAACAAATCATCATTCTTTTGTTATCAAGCTTAGATCGATATTTAGGCTTTATAGAAATAAGCTAGAACTTTTCTATGCTTTATCCCACACAAAATTATTTATAAAAACAAATAAACTAATAGAATTGAATGAAGAAAATTAATAATCATTGTAATGGAAAAATTCAGTTTACTGTCGAGGACACATTTTACTCACAGCTCGCATGAGAAATGCAACAATAATTGAATATGTAATATTCTTGTTTTTTCTTTACCCAAGGATGAAGGTTTCTCACAAATAGCTAAATATCAAAGATACTCAGACTTGAAGTTTCCTTGACATTACTGTTGTGCGACGTCTTGAAATGTATTTGATATTTGACTGCGCCTGTATCGGAAAACCTTATATAGTCATGAAGCATGTGTATATAACCCCAAGCATATTGTGATTACTTCGAGCTTTCCTTCAGACTGCATTGACACTCTGAAGCTTTGTTCCTTCTACTTGCAAGAAGAATTAAACTAAACAAAGACATTGATTGATTGACTCATGATCCTTTCTTTTGCATTGTTAACAGAAATTTCCAGCACGCCATGCTTACCTGGAGTGGACACGCCAACCGATGGGGCAGTTGGCACAAACGTCTTGTTTTTTTTGGGGCGCGGGGGTTCAGGGTCCGAGTCGGAACGCTCCTCCGCTTCACTCCAGTCCACATCTGACATTTCTCCGCCATCAGATTCCCCCTCGTTCATCTCCAGAATCTCCGCCAGAGCCTCTTTCAAAGAATACCGCATTCCTGATCGTCTCTTCATCGTTGTTTTGTACCGATTGTGCTCTGTCTATATATCTCCTATCTATCTGTCGCTCTTTGTTAAATTCCCGCGCATTAATATGAAGTCTATAACTAATAAAAATAAAACGACGCGCGAAAACAATCCAGGGAAATGTATCATTTTCAACTGCCGTCTGTATGACTGCAGCGGCAGTTAGAGGTATAAATGCTCAGAAGTCTTGTGTGTTTCATTTTAGTAACACATAGGCTTCAGAAAACATACAGGATACATATTTAAGAAAAGTCATAGGATGAGAGGCTCGTAGTTTTTATTTAAAAATAGTTATTTGTATTATAAAAACCCAAACCGTCTGTCAGACGGTCTTGGTGGTTCTAGTGTTAAATGTCTCATGTCAATTTACAATATTTGTCAGCTTTTTTATAGTGCAGTTTTTTTTTTTTACTGCTGCTCCACATCTCCCGTTGCTAAAACACATTCTACAATAATAAGTAATACATACATTTTAGTTATATATTGTTATTGTTGGCTATATTAGGCTATGCATTTTAATAAAAACACTGCAAAAAAAAGAGATAAACACCGAGATAATGAGAGGAAACTGTTTTTATTGATACTCCTCTTCCTCTGTAACTGGATTTGTTTCCCCGACATAGAGAAAATATTGAACAACACACACACACACACACACACACACACACACACACACACACACACACACACACACACACACACACACACACACACACACACACACACACACACACACACACACACACACACACACACACACACACACACACACACACACACACACACACACACACACACACACACACACACACACACACACACACACACACACACACACACACACACACACACACACACGCGTGAATGAATGAATCAACAGGTTGTTGCCACGATGCAGGTCAGATTGAAAACATTATTGGCAAACAACAAGGCATCTATGGCATGTAAAACTATGGAACTATAAACAAAAATAACTGCAGAACTCCATAACATGGCAGATGCAGTGGTGAACAATTAAACAGATGAACAAAGGCACGATCAGAACCTTTGAGAGCACCCCGGCTCCTAACACACACACCAGGGGCAAAAGTTATCAACCCTTACGGTGCACTTCCCACACAAAGGTCGCTTGCATCCCTTGCAGGAGAGAAGGGTCTTGTTTTGCTTGCAGTGCGTGTTAATCTTACACTGCCTCCTTTTCGTCTCTTTTGGCTGCTGTGGCTCCATGGGCACCGACGTCAGACTGGCCTTGACATGCAGATGTTCCTCTTGTAGTTCCTTTGCTAGCTGAAGTATGAACGCTCTTCTGGGGATGGTGGTTGAGGTGCATGCCTTGAACAGGACATGGGCATTTACTGCAGCCATGTTCAGAAGGTTATAGAAGACAGAGACAGGCCACCTTCCAGTTGCACCTTGTACGGTGAACATCTCCTCACACGTTAGGGCAAATTTGGCCTGCTTGTAGTGTTTCTTGTCAAAGCTAAGGTAGCGTATGATCTCCCTGAAGCGGTTCCTTGGCATCGTGGTCCTGAAGAAAGCCAGTCCCCATTCCTCAGACCAAAAGCTCTCCAACTCGATGTTTTTGTTGTATGCTCCTCTAACGTACAGCAAGGCAATGAAGGCCTTCAGCTCGGCAACGGAGAGATCCCATGAGCTGTCTGCCTCAATACGGCGAGCCTCAACCACAGTGCAGTCCCGTATGTGCTGCAGCATTTGACTGTCCAGCAAGCACAAGAAAGCGCTCATAGCGTCCTTAACATTGCACCTAGCGTTAGCTGTGGGGCCCACGGATTGTCCTTTAGGCCGGATGGTTGTCCAGATGGTCTCATCTTCACCCTTCTCACATGAGCTCGGGACTGCAAAACATAAATAAAACAAATTTGCCCTGATGTCTGATGTGATGTACACCGTAAAAGGTGCAACCTGAAGGTGGCCTGTCTCTGTCTTGCACTTTGACCACCATCCCCAGACCAGCCTTCATGCTTCAGCTGGCAAAGGAACTGCAAGAGGAACACCTGCATGCCAAGGCCAGTCTGACGCCGGTGCCCATGGAGCCACAGCATCCACAAGAGTTGAAAAGGAGGCAGTGTCAGATCAACAACAAGCAAAACAAGACCCTTCTCTCCTGCAAGGGATGCAAGCACCCTTTGTGTGAGAAGTGCACCGTAAGGGTTGAGAGCTTTTGCCCCAGGTGTGTGTCCTAGTTGCCGCAGCGCTCTCCAGGGTGCTGATTGTGCCATTGTTCATCTGTTTGTTTGTTCGCCACTTCATCTGCCATGTTATGGAGTTCTGCAGTTATTTTTGTATATAGTTCCATAGTCTGACATGCCCATCGATAGCCTTGTTGTTTGCCAATAATGTTTTCAATCCCACCTGTGTTGTGGCGACAACCTTTTGTTCATTCATTCAATCGTGCATGGGTGTGGGTTTGTGTTTTCTTCAATGATTTTCTCTATGTCGGGGAAACAAATCCAGTTGTGGGTTAGAGGAGGAGGAGGAGGAGGAGCATCAATAAAAAAAGTTTCCTCTCATTATTTCGGTGTTTATCGCTTTTTTGCAGTAAAAGAAAAACTGCTAAGTATAAAAAATCCGACAAATCTTGTAAATTGACATGAGACATTTAAAAAGGTTGCCAATGCTGCTCAATGCTCTGTGATATTTTGTTTGTACATAAAAGTTGTATTTATTATAATTTCTCGTAACTTCATCAAAAAAAAATTATTCTGCTCAGCAGCACACTTTATTTGTGTGCTGATGAGCACAAACAGTGAAATAACATGACGTTCTGACAGACCATTGTGGCGCTTGGAGGGGCGCTCGAATGCTGGCGGTCCTAGTGTTAAATGCTATGTGTCAGAGTTATAAATTAAATTGCTCCCTTAGGCCTCCCAACATTGGGCAACATTTCACAGAAAAATGGCTTAACCAATATGGTGAATTCTGACATTTCTCAGACCGGTCGAATGACAGACAAAAACATTTTCAATACTTTCAAAGACCACAGCTTTGGTAATCAAAGTGCAACCTACCTGTCTTTGACGTCAGAGATGTCCCTTGTGGTGGTCCAGGAGCCGTCGACCCCGTTGCTGCCGGCCCAGAGGTTGCAGGTGAAGAGGCTGAAGACATTGCTCCTGCTACAGAGACAGACTGAGACGATGTCCTGGCTGTTGTCACGGATACCCCTGCGTTAGGTGTCATTATCCCTCCGGCCCCTCCCTGATATACGGCACGGGCGAGAGAGATCTGAGTGGATGACATCTGACCGGCCTGGAGTGCTGGGACAGTTGCAACTGTTGAAGCAGAAACTGCTGCTGTGGTGATGGCTGAAGCAGGCTTGAGTATAAAAGTGGCGGTGGAAGAAGTGGTCTTGGCCTTAGTGAGTGAGTTAGCTGCAGTTAAAGAGGAGACGGGAATGTTGACCAGAGTTCCTGCCTGGCCATTAGCCATTGATAAAGGCAGTTGGATGAGGAGTGGCTGGCCAGTGGTCATCATGCTGCTCCCAGAGGCCGTCTTCAGCAGCAAGGTGCCCGTGGGACTCTGAGTGGTGATGCCAGCGGCCAAGCTGGAGGCAGCATTAGAGGTGGAGGTGATCAGCTGAAGGATGGGGGCCTGCGTAACCATAGCAGTGGAGGTGGGTGTTTGGACTGAAGCTGCAGTGGGGACTGGTTGAGCTAAAGAGGCTGGATTTGATAAGGAAAATAGGAATGATTGTTTTTATTAGAATGTAAAATGATCAGTCATTAAGATTTCAATAAACAGGTTTGTCCTTTGATCATTAACTCCTTGTTAGGTGCCCAGAAGCAGAAACGTCCAGGTTATACTGACAAACTGCGTCACGGCAGTTCAAACTTAACCTAGCATGCAAGAAGCAAAGACAGCTAAACAACTACTGAGACACTAGCATGCATAGACATTAAATCATACACTTAATCAGGCTTGCAAGAAACTGTAAAGGAAAAGGCTGATGATTGTTCATTTGTCTGTTTTCTTAATAAATCTCAGTAAAAAACAACAATGGCTTTGTTCATCTAATATATCCTTGGCCAGTCTGAGGCACTCCGCTCCATGTTTATTTAATTTTAAAATCAGTTCAAAAGTTAACACTTGTATTCAAAAAACAAAACATCTATTTTAGGACAGCTGGGCACGTTCTGTTCTTTTGTAAACATTACTTAGACAGCCGGACTGAACAACATTTTCAAATTAAAAACAAGCAAACTCTGTACGGGAAGAAACAGGACCAAGCACTAGAACTAACTCGTTGTTTAAAGATGACACAGCTTATTCTCCCTGTCGTGATTCTATAAAATGGAAAAGACAAAACGGACCATAAGCTTGACGGACATCACGCTACTCACCAGTGGTGCTGGACGAAGGAACGGTTTGAGCCTGCTTTACCTCCATGGGCGCCCGGAGAGGCCTGTTTGGAAAGATTTCTAACACTTAGAGCTGTGCATGCTTCAAGCTGTTCATGTCTACAACATGAAGACAACTGATTGAGGTTATATGTTGACATTGCACTTTATTCCATATCATACAGTCCTCATTGAACAATTTGTGGTGACATTTCCTCCAACTGACTGAAGTCAATTTCTGAGTTACGAATCAAGCATTCATCAGTATGTCAGTTAATAATTTAACATTTCAAGATAGGGGCCAACTTCACAACTTCTTATGTACAATGACCAGCCACTCAAGTCCATTTTAACATGAAAAAGAAAAACACGCATGAAAGCTGACGAGATTTTAAACCTGATTATAATAGAGATAAAATATTTGTTAATTTCCATGATGAATAATGACAGTTGTCCCAGTATGCCTCTGTTTCTGCATCAAAGACTTTCAAAATAACCCTGCAGTTCTTGCATCATATTCTCGAAAAAAATCTGGTCTTCTCTTCACTCGCAGTATTTCATTGATAACGTCTCGAATCTCTCTCCAGGCATCACAAGACAGTGAAGGAAATCGACGATCAATGTACATCCTCATTGTCTTTCTTAAGTTTATGGGCAGTGCGTCCTTGCCCAAAACTCCAACATAATTGACCTTTGCGACCCAGTCACAGTAGATGTCATATGGCACTAAGTAGCGGAATAAGTAAGATGCAAATCGGTCAGACCGAGGAAACCCTGAGCTTCTCTTGGAGTTTTGGTAAAGCACATTTTCCAAGTCGGAAGAGATTGTGCGGAGCTTTATGTCTTCTCTGCATTTTCCTTCATTGTATTCTACAAGTTTATTTGCCATGGCAATGTTACGTGACATGAACTCTTCCTCCTCCATTTCCTCTTCGTGTATCTCCTTCTTGATAGACAGTACAGGGGCCTCACCAACAGAGGGCGCCACTCCCTCTCTGGGCACCTTAGGCTGCATCTCTAGTGCCTGCCGTCGCAGCTCACTGTTGGGAGGAGAGGTGCAGCTTTAACTACACTCTGCACTGCCCGAGAAAATGCTCAGGCTTCACATTGTAGAACGTCACAAGACTCAGGACCTGGACCCATGCAGGGTTACTTTGCAGATGCAAAATACTGGCCCGTGTGTTTGTTTAATTCAAGCCAGGCTAAAGAAAGTATGAAGTTAAGTGTAGAAAAAAGTTTGATCCTGACCAGGGGAAACGGGACACTGAATCTTGTTTTTAAAAAAAAAATGTATGGATTTGGAGTATGTAAGGGTGTTTTTTTTTTTTTCAGGCCATAAGTTAAAAATTCAGTCTCTGTGATTACAGAAAGCAACCTGGGACAACGTCAACGCAGAGGAGGTCTTTGTGTACTGGTTTCAGTCCGGTATTGTCACGTTCATACAAAGGCCAAATTGTATTCACACAAGATAGCAAAGTGCAAACTGCTAACATGCTTCAATAAACTAATGCTGCGAGTTTTGAAAGTCTACATATTTTGTCACAGGATCAAATGGTCTAGTAAACGAGAGCTTCATGGAGGTGATCCATACTAGAAAATGATGTGTACATCATTGCTAAATGTATACGTTGCAGACTTACCGTTGAGCTTGAGGGTTGGTTGAAACTGTTGTAGTTTTGGCAGCGTTGGCAGCATTAGCAGCAGCAGCAGCAGCAGCCAGCGCCTGTGAAATACAACGCCATGCTGTCAGAATATTTCCTACAAAAACACTCTAAAGCAAAAAACTTTCCAAGGTTTTTTCATTTTTTATACCTCATTTTTCCTTTTGTTCTCCGACGCCTGATTGGCCTCTCCAAATTTCTTTGCCAGTCGCGCAATCTTGGCCTGAACAAACGGTTAAGAGAAGAGGATTATAGATATGTGCCTTGCTGACAGTCGGATATGGCAACATGGGATGTGGTTTGCTCATTAAAAGCTGCACTTGACATTTTCATGTAACAATCTACTTACCTGGAGTGTGTTAATCGCAGTTTGGTGTTTAGTGGCACAGTCAATTTTGTCTACTCTGGTCTTCAGCTCTTCGAAATGTTTGTCGAAAATAGTCATTTCCAGGACTCTCAACCGTTCATCCACCAACTGCTGCACAATCTGAGGTAGAATATCAGGTGAAAAGCAGAACATTTTATAATGTTATAAAATGTACCGAAGCAGATTTCAGTTGGACTAAGACTGCGGGGGTGACAAAAAAAAAATCAGTGCAGCAAATTATAACATACAAACCTGTTCTAGTTTATGGTGACCCGCAGCATTTGCAGTGATTTTAAGTTCCAGTTGTGCCTCCAGCTCCTCACGCTCCACCTTGGGCCTCTTCCCCTCTCTTTTTACAGCTTGTCCATCATTTTCGTCTCCTCTGATAATGTGCGCTTCAGTCCAGAGGTGGATCCTTTCTCCTCTTGCACTGCTTAAGATACAGAAACCGGTGTCGGTTATTAAGGCATTGGCCATGACTCTTTTGTGCATAATATTCTTTTTGGCACTATTCAGCTTTAAACTTTATTTATATTTCTGCTCTAAGGTAATTCCTCGAGACTTCCGTTGCACTTTATCAATTGCACAACCATCTAGAAGCTACCTGTGTCATACCTGTATTAGAGGGTGGAGTGGATGAAGGCCGAGATGGCTTTGTGGTTTCTGTTTTTTTCTTTTTGGTCTCTACTTTCACCTCCATCTTTTCTTCACTTGCTGAGCCTTTCTCCTTGCGCTCTTTCTTGACCTCTTCTACATTTATCTTCTCATTTTTGATATCCTTCTCTTGTTTCAGTTCCACTTTAGAAGAGGAAGCTGGGTGAGACGAAGAAGGACAAGGAGGAGAGGAATCAGAAGTGGTAGAGTTTTTGGAGGAAGGCCAAGATAAAAGACGGACATCTTTTATTTTGGCTTTGGAAGTCTCCGAGTCCTTGGCCTTTGTTGTGTCACTGTCTGTATCCATTGGTTCTGTACAGTCAGATGATGGAGGTGGCTCAGATACACTTGAATCCAAACCTTTATCACAATCCTTCGCCAAATCCACAGCTGGGTTATCTGTTGCAGTGACTTTCTCCTGAGGAAGAACATGATAAACCATTGATTTATTCAAAAGTATTTGGAATTTCTTTAGATTTCAATAAGTTTACAGTCTGGATAAATCCAGTTTAAATTCAGGTGTTTCGGTAAAACTTACAGGTAAGTGAAAAAACTGAGTATTCTGAAACATTTATTATCTTTACCTTTTCCTTGATCACCTCATTGTCTTTATCCTGATTTTCCTTGGATTCTGTTGATGCTGTTGGAACAGACTCCTTTGATGAGGAGGATGAAGAGCCTTTCTTCTCGTCCTCGTCGTCCCCGTCCTGCTCCATCTTTTTCAGTTCAAAGTTCAGAGAGTGGAATGGTGATGTGGGACTAGTAGGAGCATCCTTTGCTGGTGGACTTTGAGAAGAGGCAGGGGAAGGGGACAGGTTCAGGGATAGGAAAGGAGCAGGCGAGCTCAGTGTCGGAGAGGAAGGCGATGCAGTTCGGGGTGAGTTTGAGTCAGAGACATTGTTTTGCTCCTTGTCTCCCGCCTTTGGTCCATCCTCTTTGTGCATGCCGTTCAATAGAGGCGGCGAAGAGGTTTCCGACAAACCCGGAGTCGCTGTTATCAAAGTACTGTGAAGGCTCTCCAGTTGCTGACGATCACTAATTTTCATAGTTTTCCTGGCACGGAAAATCTTCTTCTTTTCCTCTGCCACAACAACTTCCATTGCTGCCTGTGGAGTGACATGGGGGAGGAAGATGCATCAGAGGAGCATGACAACTCCTTCAAAGATCTATGTACACACAATGATATCTGCAAGGGTTAATAGCATTGTCTCTTCCGCTAATGTACCTATCCTTGTCTTAACCAAGATGTAGAGTTTCAGAAAAACCACTAGAGGTCACTGTAGAGCCCTGTGACTTTCTTTGTTCTCTTCTAGAAGGTTCTTTTTGCACAGAGATCTGCAAACCCAACCCGTCAGTTTTCAACAGCCTGATACTTTACCGAAAATTTTTACTTATGATCACAACTGAGTCCACAGAATCTTACTCCCTGACCACACATTGTTGTATCTTTCCTGCTGCTGTAAAAGCAGTGTGGATTCTGCTCAGGAAGCTAGAAAGCTATTATTCATGTCAGAAAAGCTTGAACAGCTATGACCAATTCTCTTTCCCTGCTTTTCTAGTTGACCATGGATTTCATGTTAACCTAAGTCCCGATCTAGAGAACAGGACTGACTGAAGTTAACAACAGCAGCAACCCAACCTTTCTCCCATCCCCCCACATTCCTATTGGTTCAACACTCAGCAAATCAGAACGACTAGGCCGTGTTGGCAGCAGTGCAGAGGCAATGCACAACATGAAGGATTTTTCCGTACGTAGTACTGATTGTTGCAAACAAGGTATTGTTGAGGCTAGTTCTCTCATGTTACACTCAAATGTGTATGTGATTATTAATCATGTTTACTGAAGTAAAAAAAAAAAAAAAAAAGTACAGGATTACATCTGGCTGCTGCAGGAGACCGTGTTTAGCTGCAGTACAAAATGTCATTTTAAATTCATAAGCAAACAAGAACCAGACTATGACATAAGTGTTGTGTAGTGTAAACACTAAATAAATCATCCATGAATAACTCACCTTCAGGCAGAAAGGATCCTGTTCATGGATTTACCACAGAATCCTTCGACAACCTGTGGAAAAAAAAAATAGGGTTTATTTTAGTAAGTTAGCATGAAGTAGTTTATGTCCATGCTTCAAACTAGGAAGGTAAGTTCCACTGTGTGAAATCAGCAGACAATGCAAATCCAAAGTGTAACCATGAATTTAGCTCATCCAAATTCAGCACCCACTCGCTTTATCCCTTGAGCGATAACTTAGCCGTCTGTTTCTCAAGGAAATGTTTATTTTTGGGGTCACAGATTATTTATTAAAACTGATGGAGCATTCATGTTGTTGACTATTGCATGTATTGAACTTATCAAGATTGGACAAAAAGCACTACACACCACTCATTCGGACATAAAGAGCTAGTATACATCATATGATGCTGTTTACAAAATGTTACAATAGTCAAACATCTCTGCAAACAAAACCTTGAAACCTTTTTTTGTTATTCCATGGTCTCCCAAGTGAACTCATTATGTTTTAGCAGTTCTAGTTGTCCTCTGTTAAAGAACAAAAGGATAACACAAAACAATAAAAACATACCACATGACTTATAAATGTATTTGCAGGCTACATTGCAGATATTAGAACTCAGTAACAGGTGTGACATGCTAACCAAAGCACACACAAAGGTGAAGACAAAAAAGGTTCAAACAGGAACATGGCTTGCCAGAACAATGGACAGAGAGAGGTGTCGAGCTTCAGGATAAAGGCTTTCATACAAAATCACTTTACCGACCCATACTTGAATGAATGTTAGCTTATCAATGTGCTGCAACGGGGGAGGGGGGTGTTTTTCAACAGTTAACATGTTGACTGTTTGAGATCTGTTCTGTGTCACACCATTAACGTTACAAAGCTGTGTATAGATACATCATTCGTTCATGTCAGTGGAGGAACTGCAGACATAAAGCCAGCTATTATACAAGTAATCTTTAAAATCTCATCTGTGGAAAACAATCAGCCTCTCCAGTTTTAAACTCTGAAATTTGGTCAAGCTTTTTGTGTTTACTGTTGCTGACCTATTTGCCTTCAGCTGACACAACTATCTGAAGGGGCTTGTTTAATTTAGCTATTTGTATTTTGATTGGCAAAGCAGTTGCACGTGCGTGAAAGGGTGCAAAATTCACTTTGACTGATGTGGACTGAGAGTGTACTTTACGCTGTACAGCTGATCAGCTCACTAACAGTGATGGCGCATACGCATTTGTCAGCTATTCCTACTCCATTTTCATATCAGCAAGCATGCTTCCTGTGCAGAAAATAAAACTATATTCTTCTGCATAATTGATCTAAATTAAACCTGAGAGAAAAGCATGATAAAAGAGTGAGCATGAACAAATAAATAACGGTGTGGATTGCGAGCACTATCACTGGCACATTTCACATTCCAATGTTATTGCAACTGCGCAGAGCACATCATCCCCCTCCCCCATCCTACGGCCTCATTTGCTGCGCCTGGATTCTGTGCTGAACTCAAAATGGCCGATAGCTCTGCTGTTTTTGACAGAGTGTGCTCTCAGTAGCTAGCTGAGCAGGATCCTCTATCATATGTATCAAGTTGCAGCACCACCTGTTTTTTTTTTTTATTGATAAGCCTGAGGCAAGTGCTGAAAAATGTACAAAAAAAGTGACATAAGCTGAATTTGGACAATATTCAAACATACATGCTTATATTGCATACTACAGGTGAACCCTAGCTGTCATGATTGTGCTTGGCTGAAACATGGCCAGTTGTACAGTCACACTTTTATGGTTTAAACATATTAAACCAACATGCAAGGATAAGAATGAGAATAAAAAACGTTTCTAAACATTTTTGTTTGAAACTGAGACTTCTAAGTTAATTACTCCATCAGTACAAAAAGGGCTACTGTAGCTACAGCAGTATGTTCTCATTTAAACCGGACTCTGAGAATGTGTCAGATGAGTGAGCATGCAAAGCTTGGGTGTGTTCGATGCGTACCTAAAAGACAAGTAAGACAACTCTTTGGAATAAAAACAGTTTGATGTCTTTGAAGTAAAAGAAGTCTTGCAGTGCCATTATGTTGTGTTATGCTTTACACTTGAATGTTTTTTAACAAAAGCTTTAATGCAAACATAAAGCATTTGAAAGAGGAGACATTGACATGTTTCCGCCTTTTCTCTCTGGGTGTGGAAAATGTCTTCTACCCCTAGCATGGAAATTGTTGCTTGTTTCTGAACTTTACTATCCACCACTTCAACATCAGGTAACAGACTGGTGACAGGCTGATGGTCATTTGTCTCAAAAAGCAATAACTCTTCCAAACAGGGTAAGCAAATCCTGCAGGGTGTCAGTCCTGCAGCAGGAGGAGTCAAGTTCAAGTCCCTTAGGAAAGGGCAGCTAGGTTATTGAACACCAAAACTTTCTGATTTAAATTTGAATGCTGTTAAAATAACACAAAGAACACCACATTCCTTAAACTACATAATCTCATATAGCCTACCCATGAGACCTGCAAATCCAAGGTATTTCTGTGGCTGGCAACTAGACCAGTGCTGGTACAACTAAAAATGTCTTTATGGGATTAGAATCAGACATTGAAATGATAATCAATTTCCAAACCCTAGTTTATCTTAACGGGTTAAGGTCCTGCTACACCAACTACACCAGCATTTAAAGAAGTGGTAACCAATTTCAGTGGAAATATCCACACTGGCAGATTACGGTAGACCTGTTGGTAGAAGAGCCATGTCGAGCTGAAACCAAATCACAGAAGCTCCATTTTGCAGGTGCCCTGTACGACTTTATCTCCACATGATGGAAAGATCCAGCAGATCCGCTCAGACAGACAGTGCTCTCTCCGTGGGAATTGCATACAGAACACTGTTCCAATGCTTTCACACATGCACAAAACTCATGAAGGTTTTCGGGGGTGAGCCGCATGTGTGAACGCAAACAGCCACATTTTTCAGGAGTTTCTCCAACCAGCCCGAGTATTTTTTCAGCAGAAAGTCCAAGTGCGCTAATGTAAGGAATGTAGGGCCTGACCGATATGGGATTTTGTCGCCGACACAGAAATCGATATTGCGGAGAGAAAATAACGGATACCGATAAATCAGCCGATACCTTTCTTAGATCTATGTGGAAAAGATATACAGTATAACAGAGACAAGATGGTCACTCAAATGGAGATTAACGGAGGTACACACGTCACTGCTTGACATTCTGTAGAGTGATAATGCTTGTTGTAATCCATATAGCACCCTCTGCTGGGGACAACCAGAAAAAGAACAGCTTGTGTAAAACAACGATACTAAAATGAAATGCTATTTGACTGTTGAATAAAGTTTGTAATATCTGCGATAAAAATAGACGATACCACCAGTCTGATCACTGGATAGGCTAATATCGACCTATTAATCGGAGGGGTTCTTTCTGAGGATGCTGGTAGTGACATCCTGTATATTCCCTGGGATTAGTGCACAACCGTAGACTGTAGGCACGCCAACAGTATGATCTCCACCCATGTAATTAAACCGCTTCGTTTTCTGTTCGCCAGTATGCTCTTTTACGCTCTATTGTTGACAACGTTATTATGTCAAACTATGCATAGCATTGGTATAAAGGCAAATATTCTCATTGTAGTGTCGAATAGTGGACTTTGTTGCAAAAAGTCATGTCTTTCCTTAGGAGAACCTATGCCCCCTCCCCCACGTTCCACAGCGATAGTCTCCCACAGTGAGGTGCATGTGTGAACAACCAGATCCGGAGGATTTAAGGGGCAGTCCTCTTGAAATTCTCTAGACTTTTTGAAGAGTGAATATGGGTTTTTGACCAACCACAAACCCTTACTGACAAGCATACAGTGATAGCAATTGCGCATTAATATGGATGAATGTGATCATGCAATTATTGATATGCAGCAGAACAGTGCTTCATTAAGTTAGAGCCAAGTCAACAACTACCGTCACAGAGCCCAAAGATGTAAGTTTGACCAGAGCTCAACTGTGTTTACGAAAAGGCCTACTCCTGTTTTTAACATGGTGTTGGTGACTAGCTATGTTATTGACAGTAGCCACTCGACGTATTCGAAGTATCGTGAGTTAATATTTCTGTTTCAATACAAAACACAAATATAAACACCAAGCCAAACCTATTCCACTAGCTAAGTACCCAGTAAAAGTATCAAAAGCTAAGCTTGAGTAGAGTGTGAAGCTGTAATAAATAAAAACTGAGCTAGACTTTAATAATAGAGAGAAATGTAAAACATGCTTTAAAAACAAAGAGATGTCCACCTTTACCAGGATGTGTGGGATTGAGGCCTCCATGTATCTGTTGATTGTGGGAGCAGGGAACAGCTTACAGGCCAGCAGGAGAACATGAAAGAAAGGAGGAGGGACCAGTAGGACTAGTCCATTCTGCTCCTATCAAGGGGAGGTATTTTAAAGGGCATGTGACCTACATGGGTATTTTTTTTAAAACCCTTTTAAAAAAAAAACTCCAGACACAGCAACTTGCCATGATGCATGATATGAAATGAACAAAAAAGGAAATTATGTGTCTATCTTTCAGATGACAACTTTCAACTGCAGGACATATTTGCAGATGTCACAAAAACATACAAATCATATGTAGTGAGTGACTAAATCTACGAGTACAGCGTGGTGATTACCACAATCAACCCTTAGCTAGCAGCGCACAGACAGAGGGAAGTAGACGGCACAGACTGTTGCCTAGCAACACCCATCCCCCAACTCTAGCACAAAATAGTCCACAGTATGGAAAGCTACAGCAGCCTCGGACTAAACCACTCTGACACAGGACAGGGGGGATTTCTTCTTTATGACAAAGACAGCTAAATGATTTTTAAAAAAGGTCAAGGACATGTATGTACACAGAAGTGCTCCCATAATGCATTGCTCGACCTTTGCTATTGGTTCTTTAATGTTGAGAGGTCAGCACAGACTGACTTGAAGTTTCAAAGTGTTTCAGTTTTTAATTCAAGCTATATTTAAACATTTCTTTTTGGTGCTCTAATAGTCATAGCAGTCCCACAATAAA